TTTAGATCTGGAGAGAAAACAATCCGAAGTTGACCATCCCGAACAACACGAAGTTGCTCAAAAACACTTTCTTGTATTGCTTTAGCATAGTCCAGTACAATCTGACCAGATGAATTATGATATTCGCGTGGCATATCAACATAAAGAAGCTCCTCCAAAGTACCACTTTCATACTTGATTTTAAAAAGCCTGGGAAGCACCTCAACAGTCGCTTCTGAAAGTATGGCAAGAATAACTCAGATACTAGTTCTAAAGAGAACAGCCCATGAACAAAACACCTAGATATAGCATTAAAACTAACACTGATATCTAGCCAAAGACTCTAAGATATGGCATTGAACTGACAGCATGAAAGAGATATTTAGAACCAGATGTCATTCAAACAAGCACTGGTTAACAGCAGACCACAACAAGAGGCACAAAAAGATAAATTGCATAACATACCAAAGCCACGCCCAGGCTTGCGATTGCATATCTCACAATGCCATACATCCTGCAAAATTTGGTAGAGAAAGCTCATGAGTGTTAAATAGCTCAGCATGATTTGTATTACAACAAACCAAAATGTCTATAGGATAATTAAATAGCTACTATCACACTGAGAACACTGTCCTGAAATAAAAGTGAGTTGAAAACGAGATGCAGTTGCTAAAACGCGTGTATGCATGCATAAAGGTTGTTTTGCAATTAACCTCATTTTACTAGTTAAGATGCCAACATAGATGGGGTCGAACAGATTACTGTATCCTAGCAACAGACCTGAGGAAAAACGCCAGTTGTTTGCCGACCAGTTCCATACATAGAAACACACCACTTCTTCTTGGCATGAGGTACAAAATACTCAGCAACAAATTTTCTCCAAAACTCAATATTATTGTCCTATATGAAAAGTAGGCATCATCAGTAACCATAACAGTCACACCCAACAGACTAATGAAATCTATGGATGGGGGTATCTTACTTCAGGCCTATGTTGTTGCTGATACATATAATGTGTCAAACGCCGAGCACACATTCCAGGCTCATATACTGGTTTCGCAGGAGACCTCATAGGCAGATTCTGCTGTGGAAACTGTTGCTGTAATTGGGGGCGTTGCTGAGGCATTGCTTTCAAGAGTTGCTGTTGCTGGTGTTGTTGTTGTAGCTGCAAGAATCTCTGTTGATGCAAAATGTTAATCTGTGCCTGAGAAGATGGCCTTGACATGTGGATGAACTGTTGCGGCTGTTGTTGCTGCTGTTGCTGCTGTTGTTGCTGCTGTTGATGCAAAAACAATGACTGATCAGAATTCTGCGGTTCCAATTTTACAGGTGGCAAGCTTCTCATGGTCTGAAGTTGTTGGGGTTCCAATTTCACTGGACCAAGACTCCTCAAAGACTGCAACTGCTGCTGCTGCTGCTGCTGTCCATGTTGATCATTTGTCAATTGGGGCTCCAACTTTACTGGTCCAACACCAGCTAAGCCTCCTCGAATAGCCTGAAATTGATGTTGCTGCTGTGTGTTGTGAGGGGCAGAGAACTGCTGCTGACCATGCTGGAAATTATGTGTTTCAAGTTGCTGCTGCTGTTGATCTGTCAATAGTTGGTTACCAGAAGGGTTTGAAAATTGTTGGCCCTGACCTTGACCAGATGTACCAGAATTAGCCATGTTTGATGCAACATATGACGAAGAAGGCGCACTAAAACCCATTCCATTGCCAACATTAGAAAGTGGATCTGATTCAGCACCGGTATCCATACCTCCACGTTGGCTGCTACCAGGACCAGAAAGCCCCGAATTTGGAATCCCATTTCCATAAGACTGATTAAGGAGAGAAGACACGTTGGCTACATTGCCAAGCATATTCATGTTACCATATTGATTACGTGGTGAGACAAGCGGGGGAAAACCTGACTGGGAGGGTAGTGAACCACCTTGACCTCCCAGCATTCCAGAATTCGTACGCAAGAGTGAAGGTGAAACAGACTGGGCACCACCAATTGGAGTGGGCGGCCCCGAAGGTACCATAATTTCAAAATCACAATCTAAAAATACTAGGTGAAAGTATTACAACTATCTAAAACAACTTGAATTCAACAAGCCTAGATTACATAACAGGACGCAAAATACCAGGCATGGAGCTCAATTCAGAAAGCATCGAACCCCTACGTCGAAGGCCACAGGTTTCAGAATCTCTATTGTGTACCAATAGAAAAGGGTAAGCATTGTGCCTGGGGACATCGTGTTGAGTTTTGCCAAACACAAGCCAAATACCATAGAAACCCAATACCAAGGGACAGGCTCTAATTCTGAACATTCTACAATCTCACTAGCTTCAAGAGGAGAGCAGTCCCCGACCAGCTTCCGCATGAATCTCTGTTTATTACATGAACTTTCAGATCCACCATAACCTCAGCCTTGAACGAAAGAACTAAATCAAAACAAATCAAACTCTCTCCACCAAACACAGAGAAGAAATCCCAAAATTTCTCACTTTATCAACCAAAACCACCTCCAATCAATAACCTGAAATACACCAATTTACCAAAACTCACCAATTCAACACAAACCCACAAAAATTAAACAAAATTGAACGAGCGCCAATAAAGATTAGGCTCTAAAACACAAGTAAAACCCAAATTCCACACCCAAAACCCAAAACCAATCTTAAATATCCAAACTTTGTAAAGCTAAACCAGCAACAGCTGCCAAAATATGCCAAAAAAGTACAACCTCGATCGGACCCAAAGTCCCCAAATCAACGATCGAGAACTTCAACTGAATGAAAATACAAAATGAAGAAGAAACCAAAAACAAACAAAAAAAGAAAGAGTAGACAGTAACTCACCAGCAGTAGAGCTTTGAACAGTGAAAGAGAAAGAGAGAGACTTCCCAAAAACCCACAATGATTCTAATACATAAAACCCAGTATTAGATATTCACTGAGTTGTGTTTTATTTTCCTTCGGCTTCAATTCTATTTGAATTCACTTCAGCTTTTGTTCCCTTTTTTAGGGTTTGCTCACAGTCTCTGTGTTCTCTCTGAAGCACAAGTCCTGTCCCTCGGTGGTTAGCTTAGAGAGAGAATAGAGAGTTGTAGAGAGAGAAAGGGATTGTAGAGAGAGAAGCGAGAGTGTGTCCTTGCGGACGTCAAAATTGTATTCGATTCGATTGAATTTTCTTCATTCTTTACCTTTTCTCTTTCTTCTTTCTTCTTCTCTCTCTCTCTCTCAAACCAAGTCAAATGCTATTCTACCACTCACGCCTCTCCTATTATGTTATGCGATGGATGTACATGTATACATTTATATATGCGTGTATCATCATAGCATCTCATCATCATTGTCCATTACATTACATCGCAAGTCTGAATAGAAATGACCTTGCTCTATGCCTTTATTTACGAGATTGCCCTGACTTTGTTTCTTAATAGAATTATTTGGGTGAGAATTTTCCTTATTAAAGTATTTTCTTTATTTGGGAGTTGTCATTCGGATTGCATAACGGTAATGAGTCAAGTATTTTCCTTATTTGAGTGTTTGCACTCGAATTTATTAACGGTACTACGATTGTATGTTATATGAACATATGCTACTTTACTATGTTTTCATCATATATCTTCTTATTTTCTACATACATTTTTGGGAGTCTCTTTTATGATAATTTTTTATTTTTGTATTTTCTTGGTGAGAAAAATTAAAAACTTATGGCCACATTGGAATGAAATTGAATAATATTAGCAACGACTCAACCATTACAAAACCGAAGTCAAAACACAAGTTATTCCCCATGTGAGGAATTGTGATCATTTCTTGAATTTTTTTTCTCACAATTTTTACCAATTTCATACTAATTAGCTCACAAATTTGTTTGTTACCGCCACAACCGAATATGTTGATGGACTTCAACGGACTATCACCAAATCCTGCACAAAGATATTGGTAGAAACCCACTGAATCTTAAAACAAAACTTCATAATAAATGATTTTGGTACCCGCACTCGAAAATTGTGCGTGGGTTCGATAGTCTTCAACTAAAAATTCTTAAAATATTGGTTAGCTTCTCGCCAAATACTGAAGTTTCTTGTTTTCCCTCGATGGTTGTACTTCTTAGTGGTATTTCTCACGTGTCTACCCTCTAAAAATTGTTGTATGCTCTCAAGTGCAAGATGTTGCGTTGTCGTTGTTCACAATGGGGAATTTCCTTAGGAGAGGAGTTCATATGGTAGGGAGGCGTTCACGTTTTCAGGATTTCTTTAGGTTCTTGTGGCATCAGTTAATACATGAATAATATGGTGTTCGCCATCCCGATCATGATTTTCCTTCCTCCGAAGGGAAAGGTCCTTCCCTTTTTGGTTGGTAGTCATGACCAATACATAAGTGAGCTTAGAGCTTAGAGCTTTGGGTGTGTGCATTTTTAGAGGTATAAATTGTCCGAAAAAGTTTTGTTGAGTGAGGTTAGGCCATCTCCAGTCATGGGCTATATCCCAAATATAGCCCTAAAATAATGCAAAACTCATCTCCAACCATTGGCTAAACAAAATTTTGGCCAAATTTGGAGGGCCACATTTGGCCCTTTAGCCCTCCAACCGAGCCACATGTAGCCTAGCTTTGGCCTAGGCCAAATTTTTTGTGGGCTCCATTCATGTGCTTTTCAACAACCAACATTAAAGCAAGATGACGTCATCACAACTGGATACATATATATATTAAAAGTCTTTTTAAATGTTTTCAATTCATGTTATTTAAGAGAAAATTATAAAAAATTATTGGTCATAACCGTTGGAGGTCAGACCATTGAAACCCATCCTTTTTTTTTTCAATGTGGTCACCTTTTAAAATGTTTTCAAGTGTTGTTTAAAAAAAATTATAAAAATCTTGTTCTTATCAACGTTTACGTGTCATATATGGAATATTGTCTCCAAATAGTAGTTTAATTAAATTAAACAATATATAGTTGTGGAATGTATGAGTGTTGTACCATACTTTTTCTCAAAATAATAAAATATGAAGGACCCTAAAATATAACCCTGCATGGCTGGAGATGAGAAATTTTAGTCCTGCACTATTCTTTAAAAAATTAATATTATGGAGGGCTAAATTTTTAGCCCTGGACTACATTTAGCCCTATGACTGGAGATGGCCTTAGAGCTCTGTTGGGCTTAAAACTCTTGTTAATCCAAAGGTCTACGAATAAAACTGGAGATCTTTTCACAAATAGGATCATTTCAGCATGACATTTTATATAAAAACCCTTATAGAGTCTATTTGGAGAAAAGAAAAACCCTCAACTAGTCACCCGTAGTCATTTTCTAATTGATCCATAGTGTGTTATAATTTTTTCATTTGAAAGTACAGGATGAAGTTTTTTCAAAGTATTGAACTTGAAGAGTGTTTTTAATAAAATGTCATATTAGAATAGGCCTCTATTTGTGATAAACTATAAATTGGAACCAATCCACTTAAAACCACTTTTTGTTTTAGGGTCTCAATCATGGCAGTTGAAGGGTCCTATGCCCCCTGCCTATTTTTTATTACCCTCCTTAATTAACCCTTTTGCAGGTAAAAATAATTAATGATAGCGTTGTGTAAAGACATGTTTTTTATAAAACAAAATTAGAAATTTAGATGTTAAATAAATACACAAATAAATATTTTGGTTCTTTATTTTAGCCCAAAATTTTGGGTTTTAGCAAACCCATTTATTTTCTTTTTAGCACAATACACTGAGCCAAATATTTTGTCTTATATGTAAGATGAGATACAGCAGCTTTCTCAAAATCCTGTAGCCAATTATTTCATTCTTCCTCTTGTCTTCTTCATTCTCTCTTATTCTGTTTCTTTCAAAAACTATCTTCATGCTGTGTAAGCACTCTTGGGTGCTTATTAGTGAAGGCTATATAAGCTGGTGGTGGCAAGATTGAAGGAGGAGGGAGAAAGGCTAGGCAAAAGGTGGAGATTCTATAGGAGGAGGTGGTTGTTGGTGATGAATTTAGATTGCTCTGTAAGCAATCTACATGGATGACTAAAGTGCTGAGTAATCCCAGCTATAAAGACGAGGTGGAAGCTCTAGTAATAGGTTTTAATCATGACTTTTTCACCTATAAATAGTTGAAGTTTGAGAAGAATTTTTCATATGAGTTTTTTCTTCACTTTACTAGTAGAAAGAAAGAGAGGGAGAGGAAGAATTTTGAAGAAGAAGAATAAGAAGAAGAAGAAGAAAGAAAGCAAAAGAAATAGAGAGAAAGTAAAAGAGAAAGAAGAGAGTGGTGACGAAATTCTTGGAGGAGATAGAAAGCTTTGCTTGTGTGTTATTAACTTGGAGTTAGATTTGGAATCAAGGTAGGGGTTTTTTGGGGAGCCTTTACAGACAGTGACAGTTCCAGGATTCGAAAGCTGATCGGACAAAACTTATATACTAAACTCGACGGTAGGAGTGAATTTCAATAATAAACATACAAAGATACACATAGTGAGGGTGACGTAATGAGCCTTACCCTCAAATGCATCTATATCTACAAATACAACCACTAATTTTTGAAATTTCTAAAACAGCTGTCTTTGTGCGAGACAAAAAAATTATAGGTGGGCTTGGGGTTTGTGTGAGACAAAAAAAATTAATAATCATAAGTAGTGTAGGTAATATTTTTTTAACAAAAAGAGAGAAGGAAAATGAAGAAAAAAGAAAGAGAGAGAGGAGAGAAGATAGAAGGAAAAGAACGAAAAAAAAAAAAAGAGAGAGAGAGGAGAGATGAGAGAAGGAAAAGAAAGGAAAAACCAAAAGAGGGAGAGAAGAGAGATGGAAAAGAGTGAGAGAGAGAGAGAGAGGTTTGTACATGTTTGTCTATGCTTAATTTAAGTGGGGGACATATGTAGTGTAGGTAAGAATTCTTTTTAAAAAATTTGAAACGCCCCTGTTTATAGAGATTGATTTAAATAAATTTTGTGAACGCTATATTATGCATGATATTATTATTCGATTATTATTCTTGATATTGGGTGTTTATGTGTTATTATCATTATAATTTGATTAATGTTGACATGTTCATATGTTATTGGTGATAGTTGGAATTCTTGGGTTAATAAAGAAATTATGGAAAAAGGGGTAATGAGAACAATCTTTTGTGTAGTTGAGTCTAACCATTGTAGAGACCAAGTTCAGATGAGCCCGTGTGCACACTGGATTAGGATATCGACGGTATAATTGTTGATTAGGTGATTTGGGCTTGGAGATCAATGGTTTAGACAAGATGACTAGCAAAAAGGAAATTATAGGATGATTGAGATGTGTGTTAGTTTATATAATGGGGCATTCAGAATGACAATGGTAAAATGCATGGTATGGGACGTGCAGATTTGCTTGCCCTATTATGTAGATGGGTAGAATTGAAGCTCATTCATGCATTATTATCTTCTATTTGTTATGTGATTGCATATCACTTAATTTAGTTATATCAATTTACTGTGGTAAGGTCTTATGTCCTTACTGAGTTGTGGTTTCACTCACCATTTTATAGACCTTGCAAGTTTAAAACCAAAAAGACGGACGGTAGGCAAGCTGAAGTTGAATTAGATGAGAGTGGTAGAGTTTTATTTGTGGGAGTATGTGGGTTACATAGCTTATAAAATTTGCAAGGGATGAGCTAATATTTGGGAGAGTATGTATACCTTATCATGCTCAGAGAGAGAGAGAGAGAGAGAGAGAAGAAAGAGGAGGGGGTGATGTGT